TCCTAGTGCACGGCCCACAACATTGGCTCGCCTTTTGCGCCTTTGTTTTGCGTCGTCTTTTGGCCCGGCGCTTCTTGACCTTCAATTTAGCCCGTAAACCACACCCTCTCGGCCAATCTCTTTCGCATGATGGCCGATATATTGGACTTGATGGCTCCTCCAACATGTTCTCCAACCAAATATCGAGGCCATCGCCATCCTCGTCGTCTGACTCACCGAGGTTGATGACCACTTCCGTATCATTCCCCTCCTCTTCGAGACTTTCCTTGTCCTCAAGGATTAGAAACTTAAGCGCACCATCATCTTCACGATTTTGAACTTCACCCACCATTGCTCCTCGTCCTTCCATGAGTTGTCGCTCGTACTCTTCACGATTTCTTCGTTCATGGAGCTCGTCTAGATATGTGCTCTCCCATGGGGTAAGTTCTCTCTCCAAACTCTCCAATAATTCGAGATCTTCCCAATCCATCTCGTCCATTGTCTCATAAGACATGATAATTTTTTTATTTTTTTTTAAGACTCTAAAAAAAATCGAGAAAATAAATGAAAATTCGAACAAGGATTTCGAAAATTTCGACCCAAAAATAAGAGAAATTCGGCCCCTCAACAAAAGGTAATAACCGAAAAATATCAAACAAAAGACTAACAAGATGACACTTTTTTTTTTGATACTATCGAATTTTCGAAAATTTGGGAACAAAAATTCGAAAAATCGAACCCAAAGAAATCAAAAAAAATCGGACCCAAAAGAAAAAGAATGAGATAGAAAGAAGTTCACGAACACCCAATCGATCACTCTCAATGAAAGCACCAATGATGAAGGATCGGGTGTTGCGTTCCCTCGACTTGTCTCGATCACGGCTTCGCCACGGCCTTGCTCTCGACGATAGGTGTGATCGACTCGGTTATTAGCCTAACTCTCTCACGATACTTGAGTTCACTCGGGTATTAGCCTCGCTACACTCTCGAAATAGATCGGGTCTTAGCCTCTCTAAATCGTTGAACTGGCTTGGGTCTTAGCCTCACCAATTCGATTGCATGATCGAACTCTCACGAATCCTAACACATGGTTTGAACAAACGTTCCTTTTCTATTTCATCTCTTCGACATGAAAAACAATGAGGGAACATCCCGATTTATAGATCCTAACTATGACTAATTCTAATCTACCTTGGAAACATATTAAAGCAATAAAATATTAACTTCCTAAACATTCTAGATACTATTGTGCAAGAAGGAAACTAAATATATCAAAGTCCTAAATTGACTAGATCTTGATCTTGCTTGGCTTGCACTCCAAACAAATCCAACTCATGCACAAGTACTTCTTCGGCCGCCTTCACGCGCGCATCTCCCAACCGCCTTTGTGCGTGCGCCGACCTTCGAGGTTTCCTAATCCTCGTCCCGCGCGGCTTCGCGCACGCGCGCCTCACACGCGTCACACGTTGCCTCGGTCTCGCCTAGTCCTATGCAGACTAGGCCTCGCGCGCCTGTCGCCCAATCACGCGCCAATGCCCTCGCCCAGCTGCCGCCGCCTTCCTTATGCGCGTGTGCCCCATCGCTCGGCATTCCTACACCCGCAAGGTTTAGGTCTTGCGCATATGCGCCCCACTTGCGCGCTCTCGTCTGCGCGCCCTCGCTGTCGGCCCGCTCGCGCGCGTCCTCGCCACTTGCGCGGTTGCTGCCCACGCTTGACGCCCCCGCATTCTTCTCGCGCTCGCTTGCCCGCTTGCGCGTACCGTCGACGCCCGTGTCCCGATCGCCTATCGCGCACCCGCGTACACACGCAGTCC